TCTCCCACTGATAAAAATACCATTAAATATTTTGTCCGCCAGTATAGTTGCCGAGAGTGGATTTAGGAACAATAAACTTTTCTGCCAATCTTTTCTTGCTATCATGAATTGCCAGACACAGTAACAACAAAGTCTCCAATGGAGACGTTACTGGGCCCGCTCGAGCAAATCGACGATCAATGGGAGGGCCTTTTTTTCTAGTCTCAGGAATTAGTCAAGTCAGAAATCCAGAACTGATTTTTTTTTCCTTTTTGGGTCATACCTGGAGATGCACAGGGGTTACTCCTGGCTCTGCACTCAGGAATCACTCCTTTACTCCTGGCGGTGCTCGGGGGACGATGTGCGATGCTGGGAATCGAACCCGGGTCGGCCGTGTGCAAGGCAAATGCCCCCCAAAACTAGTTTTATAGGAAAAGATTCGGATTCAAGAGTCTTTTCTAGCAGGTAGTGCTGCCGTGTTTGGCCTTGGGGACACAGAACTGGGCGGGAGGCACTGGGGCTGCGTGTGCTGACACAGAGCCCCGTCTCCACCGCTAGCCCCCGCCCGCGCCTCGTCTGCCGCAATACTAAAAATTGTGAAGTTTGCCTCAGCCAGTGAACAGAAGCTCTCCACTCAGTGACAGGAACCCAGCTGACGGCTGTCACTCAAAGCCTCACAGGCCTCTTTCTGTGGCCACACACACTTGTCCAGTGCTTCTGAGTCACGAGGGAACCTGTACCGGGCCCAGCGTCTCTGCTGTCACAGCCTGAGGGTGGGCGAGTCACCGACAGTCACTCTTGGAGCCTCTGGTCTCACCCCCTGGGAAAACTTGGAATTACGGAACAAAAACCCAGTACTAGGGAGGAAGTGTTCCCTGCAGCTGAGGCTCCCTTGGCCGGGCGCTCCTGCCACCGGACGCCGCTGGCTGTCTCTCCACCTCCTTCCTCCAGACCAGTCCTGGGGTGAGGACACTCTTCCCTGTGCCCTGAGGCCCCTGGGCCCTGGATTTGTCCCTATCACTGAGGACAGGCGGCTCAGGGTCCGAGTCCCGGGGTCTGAAGTTTGAGCTTTTCCCAAATGAGTAAGAGTGTCCTTCAGGCGTTCGCACTCCTGCTCCGTGCCCCTGCATCTTGGTGCCCTCTGCGTGGTGTGTGCTGGCCCCAGATGGGCACGTGCCGTGGACAGGGCCCTGGCACCTGCTGAGGCTCGAGGCCAGGAGGGAGGAAGGGCTGTCGCTGGGGTCTGACATGGGCCCTGCTTCTGCTCCGTGGAGGATGAAGGAAGTAACAGACCCTCCACACGAGGGCTGAGTCTCTGACGGAGGTCTCTGTGTCTCCAGTGGGGGCTCCCACACAGGCCCAGGAACCCCAGAAGTCTCCTGAAAAAAACTCAGTTTCTGTTCTCTTGATGCACACACAGAACTCAGGTCAGAGGAACATCACCCAAGTCTGGCGTGGGTCTTCTGGAATTACTTGTTCTTTCTTTCTTTCTTTCTTTCTTTCTTTCTTTCTTTCTATCTTTCTTTCTTTCTTTCTTTCTCCCTCCCTCGCCCCAGGTCCTCATCTAGCTCACAGACCATGTTAGAGTCACAAAGACGTCCCGAACGTTGTCACCAGGGCCTCAAGTTCAAGTTCTGCTCGCTGGTGGGACAGCCTTGGCTGTCCTTACAGAAGCTTCTCCCCGCTAGGAGGGAGGTGGCAGAGTGTCTGGAAGGGCAGGGCCTGGGTCAGTCACGCAGGGGACTGGGCAGCGACTCCCCCTGTTGCTGGCCTGTGGGTGGGGAAGAGTAAGGCCCGTTTCCTTGGTGCTGAGCAGCTCTGTGAGGTCAGCACCATGACCGAACACCAGCTCAGCAACTTCTGGCTGGTCACGGGTGAGTTCTCTTTTTTTTTTCCCTTTTGGGTCACACCCGGCAATGCACAGGGGTTCCTCCTGGCTCATGCACTCAGGAATTACTCCTGGCGGTGCTCAGGGGATCCTATGGGATGCTGGGAATCGAACCCAGGTCGGCCGCGTGCAAGGCAAATGCCTACCCGCTGTACGATCACTCCAGCCCCAGGGGTGAGTTCTTGATTCAAGAAACCCACGGTGGGCAAAACCGCAATAAAGGAAAGAAAGTTTTGCAAACGGAAGAGAGAGAGAGAGAGAGAGAGAGAGAGAGAGAGAGAGAGAGAGAGAGAGAGAGAGAGAAGCAAGTGCTGAAGGGGGGCTGTGGAGAACTCAGTGAGGATGAGGGAAGTGGATGGTAGGGAAATCAAGTAGAAGGCACATGAGAGAAAGCAACGGACGTGGGTATTGTTTGCTTGCAGGATGGAGATGATTTTCTTTTTGCCAATCACACAGCTGGAAAATAGATGATCAAATGATCAAACACTGTTTCCATGCTAATGCCCGGTGGCCACTATGTAGCTGGGCAAACGAGGATGTGGCTGCTTGAAGGAACTCCTTGTTACAAATCACTGAGTCAAGTCAGTTCTGAGATACAGTATGTGCTTGGGGGTGGCAGAGAGCAAAGGGAAAATACAGACTCTGCTGCATCCTTCTGGGGTCATTTCACCGGGCAGAGGTGGGGTCTGGGCCGGGCAGCCCTCCTCCTCCTGGGCCACTGGCTGGCAGAATTCTCGGGTGAAACGAGAGCAAGTGAGGAGGAGCGGATCCCGGGAGGCCCCAGGACACTTGACTCTCCACCAGCAAAACCCTACCGAGCAGCACATAGAAGCGGAAGCTGGAGTGTTTAACTGGACAGGACAGGTTCAAAAGGGACGACCCTGACGCCCACAGTCTGCCCGGACCCAGGAAACTGGCCGGGCAAATGGTGGTTGAGAAGAAACTCTTGGACTCTGGACTCCCCTGGCCGTGGGTTCTGGGCTCGCAGCAGCGGGAGTGAGAGAGCGAGCCAGTGAGTTGCCTCCTGACTCGCTTGGCCTCCACATGCGTCCCTCTGCCCGGAGCATGTCCCACGCAGGATGGCTGGTGTGGCCGCAGTGCTCGGGGGACTTGAGAGCCCCGGGGCAGACCCCCACGCACAAACGTGTCACAGAAGCACCGCCGAGCCTTGGGCCTGCTCCAGGCTCTGGGGACTTGGGGGCACCTAGGGACCCCGCCCGGGGTTCACTGAGTCCCTCGCCCAGGCCTTCGTGGGGCCGACAGAGACTTCTGGGCTTCCTTGTGGTGCGGCAGAGACGGGAAGGCCCAGATGCTCGTCCTGTCCCCGAGCCCGAGAGGGAGAAGGTGGCGCCGTTTCCTCCCTGCCCTGCACCCCCCCCTCCCCGCCGTCCTCTCTGCTCCTCTGTCTGGCTTCAGCGCAGTTGGCGCCTCCCTGCTCACTTCCTGTGCCCAGTGCCATGGTGCGGGGAGCAGCGTGTCTGAGGGCAGTGCCATCTGCTCCGCCTTTGTCACTGTGAGCTCCAGCACATCTCTGCATGGCCCCTCCTCCCCTGCTGCCACCGTGTCTGCCGGCCACATGGGGACCTGCCTCCCCCTCTGTTCAAAGCCTCCCTCTCTCCTTCCCCCTCTCTCCTTCCCTCCCTCTCCCTCTCCCTTCCTCTCCCCCTCCCTATCTCTCCCTTTCTCCCTCTTCCTCTCCTTCCCCCTTTCTCCCTCACACTCTCTCCGCTCCTCCTCCCTCCCTCTCTCCCTCCCTCTCTTTCCCTCTCCCTCCCTCCCTCCCTCCCTCCCTCCCTCTCCTAGAAGCTCTCATCCTGCAGAATTGTCTAAGTGTAGGATGTGGGTTAAAAATGTAAATTGCACAGAAGTTGTGTGTCATTAATTTGCCTCTGCAGGTTTTGATTCGGGGTCAGGGCGGCAGTGCTCAGGGCTTGCTCCTGTCTCTGTGCTCTGGGATCACTCCCGGCAGTGCTCCAGGGGCCGTATTTGGTGCCAGGCACCAAAGCCTGGGGCTGGCATCAGGCGAGTGTCTGTGATTGGGTGCTCTCTCCTGCCCACACTCAGTCCTGGTCGCCCCATGAACCGACGCGGGCTCAAACATGAGGCGGCTGCCGGAAGAGAACACTGTCCTCTGGGAACATGACGTGGCTTTATCCTTTAGGGTTTGCAGGAAGGGTCAGAGACTCACTCCCACTCTCACACGGACTCGCCTTTTCCTGTCTTTCTGGTCAGTGCTCCTTAGGGTGGAAGAGTCCTATCCATCAAAACAGACGCCGCTTTGAAGTTCTTCCCTCAGAAAAATAATCTAACATGTTTCAGGACCCAGCTTTACAAAGCGACACAAAACTCCCTGGTGGGTTGATTTGGGGGTGGGTGGTTGTAGGCATGTGAAAAATGATCATCACCGCAACCAGCAAAAAGTACATAAATGAGGCATCGTTGCAAGTGTTCTAAAAAATCAGAACAAAACTAATTTATTATAGCTCTGTCTTCATTATACACCACAGATTGGTGGGTTAAACACAACAAAATTATCGTCTTCTCTTTTAAAAGTGTCTACTAAAGATAGAAAGAATAAGGTAACAATTAACATGTCGTCTGTTACATCAAAAATCTGATATACACATATCTATTGCCTGTTAGCTTGTTCTAAGCCTCTTTGACTATTGTAGAAAAGAAAGAAGGGTCATTATTCAAAGGCAAACATTCAATTCAGTTGATACAACATTACAGAACAGTCAACTAACATCATTCGACAAAGGTAACAAGTCTCCCTGGGGCCGGGCTGCAGCCGAGGGGCTCAGGAGTCCAGTCCTTGCTGTCCAGACGTGGGGAGCCTTGGGGACGCCCCGCCCTTTCCTCTGATGGCGCCATGCCACGGGGAACGCCCAGGGAAGCCGGGCCTGCTGTGAAGCACTTTATCGAGCACTGTGGTTAGAGCAGCAGTACTGAGTTTCCCACGACAACCCAAAGGAGTCATAACCCTGATGATATAATAATAACGTCATCATCATAATGATAATACAAACCAAACACAAACTGGATGCCTGCAGACGCCCCCGGCTGCGTCCAACAAAGCCGAGTGCCATGAGTGCCGTGAGGTGCCCCCCATGCCCCCCCCCACGTCCCGGTCCTGTCCAGACCCCCCGGGCCCGCAGTGTCAAAGGAACGAGAGTCTCAGACTTGTTACTTTTGCAGAACAAAGCAAAAACGTCTTTGTGCTCCTTACTACCAGAAGCAAATGCCCACGGCGTCACCACATGTAGTAGCTTCTGGAAGTGTCCACCTGCGTTGGCTTGGTGTCGCTGGGCCCGTCTTTGTCCTTCTCGCTGTCGCCTTCCCAGAGGTTGATGAGCGGGGGGTACAGCTCCTTGAGGGGGACCGACGAGGTCTTCTGCATGTACTTCTTTAAGGAGTGGTGGTAGTTCTTCCTCTTGAACCGCCGGGCGACGTACAGGGCCACGGACGCCAGGCTGCCCACGGCAAGCAGCGAGCCCATCACCGCGGCCAGCGCCGTGCTGGCCTCCGGATCGGGCACGTCCAGCGCGAAGGCGGCGTGCTTGGTGGTGACGTTCACGCAGGAGCGCTGCGTGTGCTGCGGGACGCTGGACACGGTCAGGCACACCTCGTAGTCCGTGGAGGGCTGCAGGTGCGTCAGGTTGTACTCGTGCACGTCCACGGGGACCCGGGCCGTGTACGTGATGTGCGGGTTGTCGATCTTCATGGTGGCCGACGACCACTTGAGGTTGGACGCCATGACGCTGGGATTCACCTTCCAGGACACGAGGATGGAGTGGGACTCCGTCTGCTTGACGAAGATCTTCAGCACCTGGGCCCCGTCCAGGAGGGTCCCGTTGACCTTGATGGCCACCACGCGCGTGTCCGCGCCCTCCACGTTCTGGGCGACGCAGGTGTACCGCCCCGAGTCTTCCACCTGCGTGTTGGCGATCTCCAAGGTGCCCTCGCTGCTCAGACTGTACTTCTCGGAGAGCATCTCCGCGGTGACCTTGCTCCCCAGCGGCGTGACCCAGTAGATCTCGGGCTCCGGCTCGGCCATGGCGCGGCAGTCCAGGAGGACCGAGGCGCCGATGTCCACGCTCAGGTGGCTGGGGAACGTGCCGTGGGAGATCATGGGCAGGCAGCGCGCGCCCGCGTCCTGGGGCAGCACCTCCCGCACCTGGTGCCCCTTGAACTCGGGGGGCGTGGCGCAGTGCATGGACAGCGGCTCCATGAAGCGGATGTTGGTCTTGTTGGAGTTGACCCAGTGGATGACGCAGTCGCAGCGCAGCGGGTTGCTGTGGATGCTGATCTCGCGCAGGTTGGGCAGCGCCTCCACCGTGCTCTGGTACACGGCGTTGAGCGCGTTGTTGTTGAGCATCAGGCTCTCCAGGGCGGGCACGCTCCGGAAGGCCGCGCGGTGGATGTAGGACAGGCGGGGGTTGTTGGTGGCCTCCAGCTTGGTGAGCTCGGGGAGGTTGTCCAGGGCGTAGCGGTCCACGGACACCAGCTCGCCCATGTTGTTGATGCCCAGCTCCTTCAGCCGCAGCATGTTCCGGAAGTCCCCCTCCTGAATCTTGTGGATGGGGTTTTTGTTCAGGTCCAAGAACTTCAGGTTGGGGACTTTCTGCAGGGCCAGCTGGGGGACGCTGGCCAGCTTGTTGTCATAGAAGGACAGGCTCTCGAGGCTGTCCAGGCCCACCAGCGCGTTCCCGGGGACGTCCGTCAGGTACATGCCGGCCAGCACCAGGCTCCGCAGGTTGGACAGCGGCTTGAAGTTCATGTCCAGAATCCCGATCACGGGGTTCTCGCCGATCATGAGGATTTCCAGGTTGGGCGTGGCGGCAAACCAGCGGCTGTCGATGACCTTCAGTTTGTTCGAGTTCAGGTGAAGCCGTAGGAGGTTTCTGAGGCCTGCAAACGCGTTGGCGGAAATGGTGCTGATCTGGTTGTGGTTGATGTAGAGTTCCTGGAGGTTGCTGAGGTCCTGCAGGCAGTAGTCGGTCATCTCTGTGATCTGGTTTTCCTCCAGGTGCAAGGTGGTCAGCTGCGTCAGGTTGGCCAGCCCCACTTCCTTGATGTTGGTGAAGTTGTTCTGGGAGAAATCCAGCTCGGTCAGGTTGAAGAGCTGCTGGAGTTCATCCACCGTCTTTGCGATGTTATTGCTCTGCAGGAGAAGCACTTGCGTGTCAGTGGAGAGGTTGCTGGGGACCCTCGTGAGTCGCAGGTCATTGCAGTCCACGGTCGTGGCTTCCCGGTAGGTTGACTGCGGGGTAAACCAGGGCCGGATCTCACAGACGCAGAGCTGGGGACACTCGCCGCTTTGGAGGGAAGACTCGGTTAGGGACATCAGGAGCAAGCCCAGCACCAGTCGGTCAGCTGCTAGGACAGGGCTCACCCTAGCCATGCTGACCTGCTGACAAGCTCCACCCGAAACGTGAGCCTCTTAACACCAGGTGGGCACAACTGCGTGAGGACACTCGGAGAGCAGGCTGGTGGCCACTCAGGACGAGCAGCGGGGCAGACCTCCAGGGCCCACAGGAGCGGTTCTCTGAGTCTGCAGGAGACAGGAAGTACTTTGAGCCTTAATTGTGTCTCTCACCCAGTCTGGCCCCAGGTTTGCAGCGTGAGTGGCTTCCGTCCAATTGGAGTCTGGAGATGTTCCTGAAAACGAGAGTAGGACAGATGTCAGGGTCATTCCACACAGCCCACACACAGCCGCCGCTCTCCTGCCTACTAAAAAGGTACCTTTACGCACAAATTTAATAAAAGAACGATCAAAATGAAAAAGCTCAGACCACCTCACTAAATTTGAAATTGCAGGACAGTATCCCTATGAGGAACTTACAACACTAAAACTTGTCGCCAACTGTACAGCTTAATTAGGACCGTACTATTATTGTTGAGTAATAACAACATGGGTTGGAGTGGTAGCATAGCAGGGAGGGCTTTTGCCTTGCACGTGGCCGACCCGGGCGATTCCTCTGCCCCTCTCAGAGAGCCTGGCAAGCTACTGAGAGTGTCTCGCCCGCACGCAGAGCTTGGCAAGTTCCCCATGATGTACTCGATATGCCAAAAACAGTAGCAAGTCTCACAATGGAGACGTCACTGGTGCCCACTCGAGCAAATCGATTAACAGCAGGAGGACAGTGCTACAGTGCTGATAATAAAATGGAGCAACAATTCTTATACACTCTGCCTTTATCATTGAGTCATTACACACACACACACACACACACACACACACACACACACACACACGTACTGCTGATAATACGGAGTGAGTCATCAAACACACTGCTACTACTGAGGACAATCATTCCACACAATGAGCTGCTGATACTGAGTACAGTCATCACCCACAGACACCGCTGTGACTATTGAGTAGTCATTACACAATACACACTACAGTTTGGTACAGTTATTACACATACACTGCTATTCTTATTAATTAATATCATTAAACTCCTGAGTACAGTCATGTAATAGGAACACTCAGAGAAACCCAAAGATGTCATTTCTTTAGAAACAAATGTGATTTTTGAAACAAAATGTATGAATTTATAGCTCCCCCAAACAAAAAGTTTTAGTTTAACTAAAATATAAAAGTCAGATTAATTAAAAACTCAAAGTTCTTCTTTTAGTTATTCATACTTTAATGAACGCATCCTTGTTCCCAGGAATGCCTTTTTTAAATAAGCGTTGCGTTTCACAGAAACATTCAATCAATACTCTCCTCGTTCCATTATTCCTTTACACAAAACTAATCTGGGGCAGCCCCAAAGGAAAATGTCATTTTTCTTATTCCAATAACCACAGCTGATGTCCACTAAGTAAGATAGTACGAGAGCTCTATTCTGCTATCACCGGTTCTCGTGGGGAACAACACGCAGCCCTTCTCACCCACGTGCCTACTCTCACCGCACGGTTCCGTCAGTCTGTGAGGAAGCCCCTGGCTAAGTGATGCTGTAACAGTTAACCTCCGAAGCTCATCTTCAGCTGTAAAGCACTGTTGGTCATAAAAGCATCTCCATTGTATAATTATTGAGAGAATTAAAGGCATCTACATAGTGCCTGACAGATATTAAACGCTCGTAAAAGTTCACTGCATTTATTATGATCTTACTATGTTTCTCACCCGTTTTGATTCTAGCCCCGTAGTTGCAGTGAGAAGGCTCCGTAGTTGCAGTGAGAAGGCGAGTAGAGAGAGGGAGGGAGGCTGGGGGCATTGGTTCTACTTGGCCTTCATCTGTGGGATTTATGAGGTCTCCTAAGGCCAAGTGTGTATCTCTCACCTACTTGTAAATAGAATATCAGCAGCTAGTGGTTCTAGTTTCTTTTTTTTATTTCAAATCAGATGTAAGAGCCAATCTGACCCCAAGGTGTGCTGCAGAGTCACCATCGCTTGCTAAGGAGTTCTAGGTGGTGTTCAAAGTTTCTGCCTTTTGCCTCTGTAATATTCTTAAACTTTCAGCACTGACAGGACCTCAGTGATTATTTTCTTGATTCTCCTGGACTTCTGTAGGAACCCCTAACTAAAGCAGAGCATGTAGAATGCATGAAGCCTAGTGAAACACATGCCAAGGTCTCTATTCATGTTAGTTGCTATTGTTACTTTTTGTTTGTTTTTCAAAACCTAGCTATTCCAGGGCCGCAGACATCATACAGTGAGTAAGGCACTGGGTTTGATCCCTGGCAACCTGCGTGGTCCCTTGAGCCCTGCCAGGAGTGATCCCTGGGTGCACAGTCAGGAGTAAGCCCTGAGGACCACTGGCATGGCCTCCAAATCGAAAATAACAACCAAAAGAACCATTTTCTTTCTGCTGGGTATTCTTTTTGCTTGTTTGTTGTGCATTTTATTGTTTATTCTGGTGTGGCACTTGTTGTGCTTCTGGATCTGCTTAGGGATTAATCCTGGTGGTGTGGGGGGGGGGACCATAGGCAGTGCTGGGGATTGAACCAGGACAGCTGCATGCACGGAAAGTGCCTAACCACGGTATTATCTTTCCGGCCCCAACATAGATCAAGCGAGAAGAAAAATGGAATGAATAGCCATTCCCTGTAGTTCTCCTCGAAAGAAAGAAAACCATCCTACATTCTGTTTGTTTTCCAAGATACGCAAACCAGCGCCTGATCGAGTGGGAGAGGAGTTGCCAGGGGTCACGTGTTTCCCTCCCAGGCAGTTGGTCCTGGTGGGCGCCCTGCTTACAGTTCCTGAGCACAGAGCCAGGAGTGACGTCTGGGCACTGCTGGGTATGGCCTGACCCCCCAGTCCCCGGAGGTGCTAACTAAGCACTGGTTTAACAAGATGGGAATTTTAAAAATATCCTCCAGTTCAGACCTGGCAAGACAGAGGTAGGATAAGGACATAAACGTGCTGCGTAGTGCTGGGAGCAAACATTATTTTGCTCTCCTGGGGGAGGAAGCACATTAGTATTCTCCCCCAATCTGATTCCTTACTTTGCCCTGTATTGTGTGTGTGTGCAAAGCACTGGAATACTGTAAAAACTACCTGATTCTAAATCTTCTCAGAACGTTACAGAAAATTATAAAAAATGCCCAAGAGAATCACTCTTTCCAAAGATTATTAACTCCACAAATTTATGTTTTATTTTTGTTCTCATCAGCACTGTAGCACTGTCCTCCCATTGTTCATTGATTTGCTCGAGCGGGCCCAGTAATGTCTCCATTGTGAGACTTGTTGTTACTGTGTTTGGCATATCCAACACGTCACGGGGAGCTTGCCAGGAGCGGTAGGGCGTTTGCCTTGCACGTAGCCAGCCCAGCCCAGCAGACCTGGTGTTCATCAGAGTAATCCTAAATCAGTAATGAACACAATAAATGCTCAGTGAAGAAAATTTCTGACACGGATTATTCCTTACTCCTAAAAAGAGGAAATCAAAGGAATAAAAGTACCTCTCATGACTCTGAAGGGGATTTCAGCTATGTTCAATGTTTTGACAGAATTTAAGGAAACATAGCAGGAAGTCAAATATGTAGCAAGATCTTGCAAGGTGTCCAAAATAATCCGTTACCATGAAAAAATTCCCTCCTGAGAGCTATACTTTTACTACTGTTGTGAATAAGGACTCCATCTTGGTTCCACTTAGATGGTTTAAGATAACTGTATGTAAAACTTCGATTTATCCTTGACAAACATGCATGCCTTTTTGCAACAACCAACATGAGCTCAGAACGTCAGACATCAGGGGGGCAGAGGGGAGGCATTTTCCTCTCTCTCTGTACCAAGACACCTCTAGGAGCACAAAGGGATATTTCTTGCGCTCTGAAAAGGTATTTGTGTGTGTGTGAGTGTGTGTGTGTGTGTGTGAGTGTGTGTGTGTGTGTGTGTGTACACCACGAGAAATATCCTTAACATTATTTTCCCAGCTTAATTTTGAACACAACATTGCACACAGAACAAAGCTTCACATGGTCCTTAAACCATTTCAGATGTTTCAAATACATATCATGTCTCAGGAACTAATCACAAAGTATTTAAAAGTAAGACCATGATCAAGTTGAGAAGAAAACGATAATCTAATTTTCCTGATTAATGCTGATGCATAAATGATCAACAAAACACTAGCAAACCAAACCCAACAGCACATTAAAGCAATGAAAGGGATTGAATGTCATGACCCCCATTATTTTCCCAGCTTAATTTTGAACACAACATTGCACACAGAACAAAGCTTCACATGGTCCTTAAACCATTTCAGATGTTTCAAATACATATCATGTCTCAGGAACTAATCACAAAGTATTTAAAAGTAAGACCATGATCAAGTTGAGAAGAAAACGATAATCTAATTTTCCTGATTAATGCTGATGCATAAATGATCAACAAAACACTAGCAAACCAAACCCAACAGCACATTAAAGCAATGAAAGGGATTGAATGTCATGACCCGCTTACGTCGAGGAGGTAAGGATGGGTCGGCATCAGAGAATCAGCCGGTGGAATACACCATGTTCACAGAGCGAATGACAAACCTAGACAGTCTGCTCAATGGACACAGGAAAGCACTGGACAAAACCAAACCCTTCCCACGACTCCGGTGCAGGAACACTGTGGGTCTAGAAATTGATACTATTGTAAATCAATTGGAAAAAAAAAAGACATTTTCACAAGAAAAACACTCAACAAACGATGAGTAGACAAACTCGACCTCCACGTAATAGAAGTAATATTTCTATTTGTCTTTGCTTTATAGTGCCTCATAGATACTGCATGGAACGAAGCTTCTAGCAATCCCACACTGAACGAATCTACTGGCGACCCTAGCAGCGTGAGCTCACTTTGCCTCTCTGCTGCATTTGGCTGATTCTTGCAATGTTTCGACTCTTGAGTGTCACTCTACAGCTTTTTAAAATTAAAAGAAAATTTTAGGATACCACGGCTTA